CATGTACTTCTCTCTGCAGGTTTACAGAGAGCCAGTGCAAGAGCCCCTTCACCCTACCGGAGAGACTTTGAGGCCAAGCTCCGTAATTTCTACCGAAAACTGGAAGCCAAAGGATTTGGTCAGGGTCCAGGGAAAATTAAGTAAGTGCTCCAGTACTTGACACTGAATGCAGATGGTAGCTTTTTTTTTATCTTTTTCTCCTTTATACCTTTGTAATATTATTTTGGAAATTGGATACCATGGTGTGGTAAAAGTTATTTTCATAGTAAAGAGAAAGAAAAAAATTATGAAGTTAAAAAGAAAGAAGAACGGAAGTTAAGAAATTGAAGAGAAGGCAGAAAGGGAAGAGAAGGGCCAGAAAGAAAGAACAGTAGATTTCAGATAAAAGCATATGTAAAGTCAATGGTAGACCTTTTCAGAAAACAATGAATCTTGATCTAAATTTAAAAATCGTATATTCCTTTACTTTTTCTTGGGACACATCATTTAACTCATTAGTCAAATTCATGGGCTCTTTGTAACTTTGTAATAGGAGGCTAAGTAAAAAGTTGTGGATTTTTCTCCTTCTGGGTTTTGTGTTTTTGTTTTGTTTTTGAAAAGCCAAACCCAAACTCAGGAATCCAATTGAAAATATTTTTTTAATTGATACAAAAAACAAAAATAGTCCAATAGGATGGAATGTATAATAATAAAAGCATAATATGCTAATTAGACTGGACAGCTGAACAACCTTCCGGATGTCATTCCGGACGAAGCTGCAGCAGCAGAGGCAGAGGCAGAGGCGGTTAGGGGCGATCAGGCAGACAGATGAGTGGTTAGGGGCGATCAGGCAGGCAGATGAGTGGTTAGGAGTCATCAGGCAGGCAGGCGAGTGGTTAGTGGTGATCAGGCAGGCAAGCAGAGTGGTTAGGGGCGATCGGGCAGGCAGGCAGGCGAGCGGTTAGGAGCCAGTGACCCCAGATTGTGAGAGGGTGCAGGCCGGGCTAAGGGACCCTCCCCTCTGTGCACTAATATTGTGCACCAGGCCTCTAGTCTAATTATAAAAGCATACACGTTGTCCTTGTGCTATCAATGGTTTAAAAAGAGTGTTCTTTAAAAGTCCATCCCTCAACTGATGGAATCTGCACATTCATGGAGAGTCTAGGGAATGAGACCTGGGCACTCATGACTCACCTAGAATAATGTCCAACGGCAGAGCTTTGAGCCACTACTCATCACCCACGTGGCTTTTACTCCTTCCTAGGCTCATCATTCGCCGGGACCACTTGTTGGAAGGAACCTTCAATCAGGTGATGGCCTATTCCCGGAAAGAGCTCCAGCGAAACAAACTCTACGTCACCTTTGTTGGAGAAGAGGGGTGAGGCACCAGTAGTTTTATGCAGACACTTCAATGTGGTGGACCAAGCCCCTGGGTCTTGGGTGATTTTTCTCAAAAAGAAGCAGAGTGGCTCTAAGCCTTTGCCCCAAAGTGATTCTAATTGTGGCCTTCTAGGAGGTCTTTCTCCGGGTATTGCCAAGCTTGAGATTTCATGTTCTTTAAAAGCCTAAGATTATTGACAGGTACTAGAGTCTGAGGTACATGATCAAAGTATAAACCAAAACTACTGGATCTTTACTTTTTCAAGTGGTGTACACTTTTGAGTATCTGATCAAAAAACTCTTCCTCCTAAAGTGCACCTATACAACTATATACCAAATTTGTTATATGATTTGAGTGACTTCATGGAAAATCATCTCAACCATAGAGGGCAAACCCACCTCAGAGGGCATATCAGAATGAACTTGGAAACTTTTTAATTCACACATATGCACATATGTGCACATACACACACTGTCACAGGAAATTCTCTTGTGCCTCCCCCAACAAAGTCTTTGTTTTTAATGGGCCAGCTGTGTGTTTTATCCAACAGTTGTTATATAATTTAAAAAACAAAAAAGAGGAAAGGTTAAGGAACATTGCCGTAAGACTTCACTTATGGAAATCTGAGTAAGAACTTCCCCAAACCAAGGACCACATCCTCATTTTTCTATGGCAAATTAATACTTCCGTTGGCTTCCACTCAAAAGAGCCAAGGCTGCTCTTGACATTCCCCAGTACTGACTCTGAAAGAGCACACAGGCACCCAGATAGAGGTAGGTCCCCTGCTTCCTGTTCATAATAGATTCCCGGGCCTCTGCTTCCTCCGCAGCCTGGATTACAGTGGTCCTTCGCGAGAGTTCTTCTTCCTTTTGTCTCAGGAGCTCTTCAACCCTTACTACGGACTCTTTGAGTATTCTGCAAATGATACCTACACGGTGCAAATCAGTCCCATGTCTGCATTTGTGGAAAACCATCTAGAATGGTAAGATCTAGAATTTTTGCTTTCTTATGTTTGAAAGTTTTAGTCTTTCTTAGTCAGAGGGCAACAGTTTTTAGAGCAGTGGGCCAGATAGAATGAGGGGTGATGAGAGTGAATAGCAAAGCACTAGAAAGAAGACTTTCTGTTAGTCTTAATCCAGAATACAAAATAAATACTAAAGACACTGCAACTTTAATGACCACTTCAAATTTATGTAAGAAACAGTAATTGCCTTCTGAGGTGCACTTAGGTAAGTACACATCTAAAATTAGGAGTCCCCAGTGGAGGCTCCTTGGAAATATATATGGGTTTGAAATTCTTTGACACTTGTACACTTTTGGACCAATAGCTTTAGCACTGTGGACATCAGCTTCTATATCTTATTGTAAAATAAAGCTGTTGGGTCACATGATCTCTACGTGTCGTTCTGACTCAAAAATCCAGTTATCTCTTTGGTTTTCCATACAGTTCTGTAGGGAAGATACTTCATATATTAGAAGCCTCCAAGGGAAATGAAGTATGCATGCACTTTCTTGCTGTGTCTCCACAGCACCTGATTTGAAAATTACCCCTGTTCTCACTGCAGGAGTTCCAGGACTTCATAAAGAAATGAGTCCTGAAAATTGCTAGTGTGATTGTTGTGACATTGTTTACTTATGATATGTTGCAATGGCTGCTGGTGATGGGAGTTTCTGAGGTGATACCTGGGCCTACTGGACTTACAGGCCAAATTCCTGTATTTTGGTTTTGTAGCATCAAATAACCCACCTCTGCCAAGGTGTGTAGCTATTGCCATGCCATCTCTTCAAATAGGCTCATCTCTGTAGTTTTTGAGCTGAGGTAGGAATGAGTCTACATCAAGCATTTGACACAAGTGATAAAACAAAAGTTGTCCTTCTCCTGTCATTTCTTTTTCTGTCACTCTCAATAAAGTGATGAAGAAACCTATGAGACAGAAACACAAAGACAGGAAGACAGAGCAGGCAAGATATTGCCAGGGAATTTATGACCCTGAGAATTGAATGCCAGCTCTTACTTAGGTCACATTTAGACAGGGCTAGAGAGTGCTATAACCAATATAAGAATACATATATACACAGATTACACTTAATATAATCCCTCAGTTATCTCTTAATTTGTGAGCATGAAATTTAAGATGGCGTCATCGAGGCCATGAATTGGAATCTGTAACCAAAAAAGAAATATTTTCATCAAATATCATACCATATAGGACTATGCTAGATGTTGTGGGGATACCTTTACTAATTTAGCAATTATAAATTAAGCACATACTATATGCTGGGAGGATACAAAGATGAAATGAGTAAGATCTCCTCCCTGAAAGAGGTGTAGTAGGAAGAACACATAAATGAACCAATAATTATAATACAAAATCATAAGTCACCCCAATAAATTCAATAAGGAAAAAAGCTCCCAACAAACAATGTCCTGGACTGGATGATTTCACAGGTAAATTTTACAAAACATTCAAAGGAAATCTAACACCTATCCATCTCACACTACTTCAAAAATGTCAAGAGGAGAAAGGATTCCAAAGTTTATTTTATGAGGCCAGTATTATCCTAATACCAAAACCAAAAAAAGACACCACAAAGAAAGAAAATCATAGCCCAATATCTCTGATGAACATAAATGCTAGTATCCTCAACGAAATATTAGCAAAGTGGATCCAGCTGTACATTAAAAAGATCATACACCATGACCAAGTGTGATTTATTCAGAGATGCAAGGTTGGTATAATATCTGCAAATTAAAGAACATGATACACCATATAAACAAAAAGAGATAAAAATTACATGATCATGTAAATAGATGCAATAAAAGCATTTGATAAAATCCAACACCCATCTATAATAATAAAAGCATAATATGCTAATTAGACCGGACAGCTGAATGACCTTCTGGACGAAGCCAGGGCTACGAGGGCCAAGGCAGCCACGGCGGCTGCAAGGGCTGAGCCCTTTGCAAGAATTTCGTGCATTGGGCCTCTAGTTTATAGTAATCACTCTCAGCAAAGTGGGAATAGAGAAAACATACCTCAATGTAATAAAGGCCATATATGACAAATTCACAACCCACATCATATTCAATGGGAAAAAATTAAAAGCATTTCCCTTAAGATCAGCAAAGTGACAGAGAGTGCACTTCCAACACTCTTATTCAACGTAGCACTGGAAGTCCTGGCCAGAACAATCAGTAAGAAAAAATAAATGGTATCCAAATTGGGAAAGGAAGAAGTAAAACCGCCATTATTTGCAGATGATAAGATACTGTATGTAGAGCACCCTAAAGACTACACCAAAAAACTATTAGACTTAATAAATGAATTTGGCAAAATAGCAAGATACAAAATTAACATCCAGATATACACTGATGTTCGTATTTCACAGATGCACAACATATTCCAAAAATGTATATGAAACAAAAATAACACCAAGGAGACATAGCAATCTTGAGAAAAAGGAGCGAAGTTGGATGGATTACAGTTTTGGATCTCAAATTATACTACAAAGCCATTGTAATCAAAACAGCCTGATACTGGCACAAGAGCAGGCATATACTAGTAGATCAATGCACAGAGACCCCAGAAACTGACCCATGCCATTATGGTAAATTAATATTTGACAAAGGAGGCAAAGCATACAATGGAGTAAAGACAGTCACTTCAATAAGTGGTGTTCGGAAAATTAGACAGGTACATGGGGAAAAAATGCTTCTATACCAACTTACACCATACACAGGAATAAACTCAAAATGGATGAAAGACTTAAATGTAAGTTGTGAAACAATAAAAATAGGCAGTTAAATCTCAGACATCTCATGTAGCAGGATTTTCACTCATACACCTCCTAGGGCAAGGCAAACAAAGGGAAAAATAAACAAGTGGGACTATATTAAACTAAAATGTTTCTGCACAACAAAGGAAACCATCCACAAAATTAAAAGGGAACCCACTATATGGGAAAATGTATTCACCGCTGGAGGCTCCACTGATTGCCTATCACAGTGTGATTCTGTGTAATTCTTCCCACTGACCTTGAGCTCAACTGCCATCTGTATTAGACACACATTAACCTTCAGGTGCTTTCTCTGGGATGCTTCAGTAGGTAAGGATGCATGGTCTAGAAGACTTTCCATGGCCTTGGGTTTAGGTCTTCCTCAGGGTCAATGTGGGCTGTTTGTCCATAGTTCCCCTTCACCAGTACTTTTCTTATCTTGGCTTCTTATACTCTCAGGTCTGAAAAGAAGCTCCGGGCAAAATTACTCTATTCTGGTAACTGAGGGCGAGAAGAGTTCCTTTAGTACATACCAAGCACATAGGTATTGTTTATGGTAAAGAGTAAGGAGGAGAATGTGCCTTCCATGTGTCACCACTTGATTCCTTAAGTAGCTTCAGATGAGTGCTATAAAGAAACACATCAAATAAAAGTACAAATTAACATATTTAACCATGTAAATTTCTACCAGCCCTTAAATCTCCACCTTGTTTGTGTCCCAGGTTCAGGTTTAGTGGTCGTATCCTAGGCCTGGCTCTGATTCATCAGTACCTTCTCGATGCCTTCTTCACAAGGCCCTTCTATAAGGCGCTCCTGAGACTGTAAGTGATTGCAAACCAGAGTCCATCTGGCCGCACCTGCAGGACGACGGCTGCTGGCCTCCCTAGTCCATCTAGCCCTTTTGTCCCTATTTTGCCTAACAATTCCTATTAAGTTTGTGGTAGTTTATTTTTCTGAGTCCTTAGATATCACATAAACCTTTTAGTACAAAAAAAAGGCATTTGGAGATGGTATGCAAGCATAGTGGAAGCCTATTATAACATTATATAATGGATATGAATTAGTTTTCATAAATAATTATAGTTTGCATAAATAATTACATTTTATTAAATTACTAAGTAGTATTGATCTGTCTAAAACTTAGATGTTTTTAAATAATACTTTTCTCCAGTTGTCATGGAGAGTTCATGTGTCAATAATTATTTTATTTTTATTGTAGATATTTTAATATTTTGTTTTTAAAAGAGTAAAAGATACATAAATATATTCAAAAGTATCACATTGTTAGAACAAGTCTGTGTTGTTTTAGCCAGGAGGGGCATAAAGACATTCAAGCCGACGCTCTATCCACTGAGCCAAACCGGTCAGGGCAGATGTTTTTAAATAATACTTTTCTCCAATTGCCATGGAGAGTTCATGTGTCAATAATTATTTTTATTATTGTAGATATTTTAATATTTTGTTTTTAAAAGGGTAAAAGATACATAAATATATTCAAAAGTATCGCATTGTTAGAACAAGTCTGTGTTGTTTTAGCCAGGAGGGGCATAAAGACATTTTGAAATGAGGTCTGGACAGCCATTTGTTTTACCTTTCTCCCTTTGACTGGACACAGGCCCTGTGATTTAAGTGACCTGGAATATTTGGATGAGGAATTCCACCAGAGCTTGCAGTGGATGAAGGACAACAACATCACAGATATCCTAGACCTCACTTTCACTGTTAATGAAGAGGTTTTTGGACAGGTTTGTAAGATGTGAGGCTTGGAAAAGAGATTTTGTTTTTTGTTGTGAAAAATTAACATAAAATTTACCATTTTAACAGCTTTTAAGTGTATAGTTCAATATTGTTAAGAATATTGACATTGTTGTGCAACTATCCCCAGAACTTTTTCTTTTTCTTTTTTTAAAAACTTTATTGTTCAAACTATTACAATGTCTTTCCCCGTCCCCCCCCCACCCCCCC